TTGACTACTTTATTTCGCTTTAATTCATATTAATTTGTATTTATAAATACATCTTTAAGATTTCCAATGTAGGAATAAGTTTTCAATAATAATAAAGCACCAAATAGGTAAATTTCTGAAATGACAACTTCATTTGACAGTTATCTTTTACCTTGACTGGTGCCTATGACTGGTGCTCATAAGTAAATACAGGGCCATAAGAAAGGAGAAATATTTAAAAAGAAATCGGCGATAACTCGTAAACGAGCTAATCAAAAATATCTAAAATTATTCTTTTGAATCTGGGTTTTAGTGCTCTTCAATAAACCTAGATAGAATTATTCTCTAAAATAATTAGGGAAGCCAATAATTGACCCCATTAAAATTTATATGGGATTTCCTATGTCCCGTCCGACGATGCAACACCCGGTATACTTACCTATACAATTAAGGCATTCTATTACTTTTAATATTGATGGTTACAACACGAACTTTATTCAAACGAAAAGTCAGGATAAAAAAGTATTGATAAAAAGCACAAATTTGTTTGTTTGTTTTTCATCGAAAACGAAAGAAGCGGTAAACAGAACAAACCAATCTTAAAAATGGCTGAAAAGAAGCTCTTCATAAGTGTTTCGTTCGCATAACAATAATAGTTTATTCAGTGCAAATTTCATTTCCTATAACACTGTTTTGTATAGAGAAATCAATATAAATTGGTGTGCACGTCATCAAAGACGTCGAATAACTTTGTTAACGCGTTGACAAGGCTGATTTGATTTCCTCTTACGTCTCAAGTGCTGTACGGTGGAGACACCAATCGTTATGCGGCCAACGCATAAAACACTTATTTTTCCTAATTCGGCCAGCGAAGGCGCATCGAAGACGGTTTGGATCTGAAAGCAACAGTGTTGCCATATTACAATGTGTAACATCTGTAATACGTTTGACGAAAATATCTTTGGATGAAAAATCCACGTTTGTGATCCACCATGTATTGAAAATTTATTCGTGTTAAACATAGAATAAACAACAAAAATAAAAATTCTTTTACTGGTACTGAATATGTCGTATGATCGAAAAAAGTCGTTTAGTTGGCTTCGAAATCACGATTATTGATATTTACCATAATATTTTACATATAAAATAACAGCGATCTTCATTTCCAAACCAACTCTGACGCCGTTCTTTGTTTAATCATATAATATTATATTAAATTATTTAATGATAAAAAAAATCCGAATAATTAACATACTGTACACAAAATCCGTAAATCTACGAATTAATCAGTAGTTCTGGCAACACTATCTCCGGCAACCACTCACTCTGTCGACTGAAACTAGAACTACGGTACAGTATTCTTTATCCGCTGCGCTGTAAACGACCAAATCAGCGCGCAGTGGCGCAGAGCTAAACTAGGTCTCGGACAGACTGACGGAAACGCTAGTTACATCTTGGACAATACATGTTTAGTGCCATGAAATTGCCCATAAAGTTGCTTTAACAAAATACTTTGAAAACGTTTACGACAACTATTATTGTTTTTTTCTATAGGCTTAATTTCTAACACCATCTACATGAACAAATAAACTGTCCAAGATTTGTTTTAGCTGAGTTTTTTTTATTAAAGCTTTTTAAATATAAAGTTTTTTTCCGGAATTCGGGAAAACATTCTCCTTTATATATTGACTCCCGGAGTGCATTTTCATTTAAATCATCCCTTAAGACGGACCGACGGAGCGCTAAACAAAGGAAACTAGACCACTAAAATCCTGGAGATGTCCCATTAATATCAATCAGTGACGTTGATTAATCTTACGGTTCGCTGGTCAGTTCGTGCAAGGTCGTGTTTTGACCAGAAAAAAGCACCGTTTAAAAAGTTTTACTAATGGCATCAGCTGAAACGAGCTTTTAGAAGTTTTATTTCTTGGTATAAGGGGACATAACTGGAAATAGTGTAGCTGTATTTTTAAAACAAACCATTTTTGACCCGTTGTTGATATATGTATACTTTTTTCTTAAATAAGTTTTTCTGTCTACTGTTGTCAAGTGTTGCTATTAAAAATTGGTTTGACATTGACTACACAGCGATGGCAATTAAAATGAAGTTGAATAAAGAACGACCTCTCATATAATGTGACATTATGTAAACACAAGTTTATACAGGGTGTCCCAGAAATAAGTGCAAGTATTTTAAGTGGTGGTAGATCTCGATAAAAGAAACATATTTTTTCGGAGTTACTTTACTTTGAAAATTTCCAAAAAAAATGATTTTTTGCTAAAATTTGAGAACAACTGTATATTTACTGGATTTTTTTTCTTGCAAAATCTACTACCTATGTTGCCATATAATCAAGATTACAGTTAAAGGTTGGAACCTTTGGTGTTACACAGCAAAATAAAAACACTAAATCACCACAATACACCAAAACACTTTTACACTGGATGCGCGTTTCGCTAACCTTGTTAACATCATCAGCAGATGATTATAAACTAAAGTACAATCTACAAGTTGAGCGTTTATGTACTCGCCCAGTGGGCACCGGGTGGGCGTGGCAAAATCTAGCCAACCGAGTCAGAGCCAACTGAGCGTAACAGTTAGATTTTCGCCACTAGAGTAGTAGGAACAAAGAACTTGAAGGAATTGGACCGTTGTCTCTGTTCATACTATCTTTACATTTATTAATTCTGATGCTTTCATATGCATCTAATTGCCTGTAATTTGAGACTTGTTTAATTTTAAATTATTAAGATCTATACAATGTTCTTTATCAACAATATGTTCGGCAACGTAAGATTTATCCGGTCTACCATATCTTATCTGAGCTAAATGTTTTTTAAATCTAGTTAATATTATAGTTACTAATAGGTTCATATCAAAATGACTAGACCGTTTGTTTAGCTTATAGGCTTGGTGCATTTCAGTTTATTTTAAAAATTCCGACCGCAGCGCTCCAACGGCAAAAATTAGAAGTGCCGGGTATATAAAGTATTTCACGCAGTTGCATTGAAATAATATTAAGATCGTTTCTTTGTCATAATATTTAATTATTTGATTTTTTACTAGTGTAGTTATTGAAACTATAAAACAATCAGGTACGAGGTTTGTGTGATGTAACGCTGTTTCGGATAGTAAAAAATAAGTGAAAAAGAACCCGAACTAGGTTAATAATGGTAACTAAATGTTAATAAAATATGCTGAAAAAATGTTAACACTTAAAGGAGAGCGTAATTAAGGCGTTGTTGAGTGCAGTAACATTCATGCCCACTTGCACCGTTTGTATAAACTTTGTTTAAAGGCTAAACATTGATTAACTATACATATTTTATTATAGTATTATAGTATATATAATTGTCCTGGATATTCAACTCTCCCGAAACAACATTTTATAGCTTCACATTTTCTCACAACGATCTGGTCAAAATCAAAAATTGATTCAAGCGGTTCGACGAAACAAGTGAGTAAACAAAGTGCTCATTTCAAAACCAAAATTTTTTTATTTGGAGTATTTTAATACTCTTCAATTTTCCTTGGGAGGAACTAGTTCCTTAGTTCTAGTTCCTCCAGAGGAATAGTTCCTTGAACTAGGTTTTTAGTTCACAATAATTCCCGACTAACATTGACATCCCCCTTGCTTGCTAATGCGTTTCGTTGTCAGTCAGAACTATTCACAGTATGATCTGTACAATTTTTATAATGTATGGAGATATAACGAGACGTGTAATTGTGTATGTTAAAAACATATAGGTAAGTTTTATTGCAGATAAAAAAAAATAAAAAAGAAACTCAAATCAGAGTTTATAAAACTGTATGTGACGAAATATTTTTATTACTGTTCATATTATCTACTTTCTAGACATGTTTGTGTTAGGTTTTATTTAAATAATGGTCCATATTTTATATTTTCTGTTGCTGGAATTTTGAAAAAAGATTTATTGTCGCCTATAAATTGGAATAAGGACACGTGGAAGATAGTTTGAGAAACCCTAATATAGCCTAAGGATAAGAACACGATTAATACAGGAAGGTAATGCTCAGCGAACTATGTCTAACAACCTTTAACCACGAAATTCACTTGGCGGTTACTGCAAGCTTAGAGATAATCAAAGTTTCTCGCCCAAATGTTCAGTTTTCGTATCAGTATCAATTCAGGATTTAGAAAATAATCTCTAATTCTCCGAACTTGTGATAAACTATTTTGTTTTACATTTCTTAATTTATTTATTGTTAAGAAATGTATTATAAACTTAAAATTATAATCTATACTAATATATAAAATCCTTAAGTGACTGACATACTGATTAATCACGATCCTGCTCAAACCACTCAACGTAAGAAGCTCAATTTTGGCATACAGGTTGATTCTAGGGTGTAGAGGTTCGATAGGAATCTAGGATTTTTCGAAATTCCATTTCCAAGAGGGTGAAACCACCTCTCAAATATTACAATATTTTTTATTTAAAAAACGGTTAGTCTTTCAGGAAAACGCTTGGACAAACATAATTTTTTTGGTTTTTTTTACATATTTTGAAATTTTTTAAAAAATCATACAGGGTGATCCAAAAAGTTGGGTAATTTCTTAACCACGATTCTGCTTAAACTGCTTGACGTAAAAAGCTTATTTTTGGCAAACAGACTTTTCGAAAGTCAAATTCCAACGAGATAAAACCTATGGATAAAACTACCCCTCAAATATTACCAAGTTATATAATAATATCGCCATATTGTTTTTCTCATGCTGAGATAAATGTGAGAAATTTTTATCCAGTTTGTATGTTAATGGAAATTCTTGCTTTGCTTTATCATCACCATTACAAATGATTAACTCGACGCAAACAAAGTAGCGGGTACACGCTAGTATTTAGTGTAAAAGAATTGTAATATTCATATTAAATAGCAGAATTAAAATGTGCAGAGTATATACAGGGTTGTCCGGATTTTTGTCTACAGAATATGTTTGGGGGGATTGGTTGCAACTAATTTTTGAGCGATACATTATTTTTTCTTCAAATTTTTACAGGCAAAGGCCACATTGATAGAGCGGGGTTGCCAGCTGTTGCGAAAAGACGGTCTTCTGGACGAGGACATGTTCAAACGTGCGAAAGAAACCCAACATTCCATGGAAGACTCGATCAAAAAGCTGGAAGGGACTGTGGAGAACCTCCAGACTCGCTTAGCCAGATTGTTGGCTGAATATTCAGCCAGTCAAGCCAAACTCAAACAGAGAATTAGCAGAGTCGAAAGCAGGTATGTTTGAATCTATACAATTATTTTTTTTTTTGCTCTCTGAAAATATCCTAAGAATTTAAATTTTACCGTTTATGATAATCTTGGCATTTAATTTATGCTGTTGTCATAATACTCCTAAAAATCTAGTAAAGACCAGAAAGACCTTAAGAGTATATTACGCTGTACTTTCGGGTCGCTCTCAGGAGTCGGCTAAAGCGGATATTATATATATTTCAGAAATCTGCCTAAGGTTTGCAGAGCTTCAGCGTTTGCCATAAAATTTAGTTTAAAATATTTATGATTTTCTACGAAAACTGTGAGAATTATTGGCAGTATTTTGTGATTTAAATAAATATTCTTTTCTCTAGAAATGGAAGAGACAAAGAGGACAACATATCAGAAAATCTAGCAGTACCCACTGTGAGAAAAAGGCTTCGGTCGTACGAATTGAAAAAGGGAGACTTCAGTTCCGGTTCCAGACACAAAACCATGTAGAATTCGACGATTTTAGAATGATATAGGTAGACCAAAAAAATAATACAACATAAGAGACATCCAACAGCGACCTACAGCGTGTACCAAAAAGATTATGGACGATAACTGACAAAAAACATTATCGAATCATCGAAAAAAATTAACAAATTTGTTACGAACTGTTTGGCACACCCTGTATAAATGAGAACTTTGTTTTATAGTTAAGAAAGCATGAATTCTACAACGATTTAGTGTATAGGATATAGGATTGAATTTAGGTATAATTTAACGAACAAAATCAAATGTTACCTACTCGAAATGTAGTTTGGGCCTTAAAATAAGAGTGTGAACAGGGTTGCCAGATGTCCGGATTGTTAAAATAGTTTCTCGAGTTCTCTGAGGTAATAACCATTTAATATCTAAAGATTCCAATTTTCACTACTCAATGCAAATATTTTTTTTAGTAAAAGCTAAATCTGTTTTTCTGACATTGAGGGGTGGGTAACTTGTCAAAATACCCTCGTATAAAGAGGATATTTTGAAGACAGATTTGCCTAAGGGTATTTGAGTGGGTCTTTGAGTGGGTAAATAACAAACAAACATTTGGACATTTTAGGATATTTTCCTATTCTACTTATTTGTACCATGTATTTGACTTTGATGTTTAAAGCAAGTTTGATTTAAAAATTGTATTTTTTCAAAAATAGTACTTTAACCACACGGGTAGATTAAATGATACTTTAACAGCGAGGATAGGCTAGAAATTTTATTTCTTCTCGCACGTTTTTTAATTGCTTCCGTTTTTGAAAATTTTTATATTCCTTTTCATAAGTTATTCGGGATTTAAATGGAAGTATTTGGATATGGCGTTTGTCTCCTCACCCTGAATATCTGTTGGTAATTTACGTATTTCGTTTTGAGCCATTTCTGGCTCCAATTCAATCAGCAATCGACACGAAAGAGAATTAAAAAATATTGACTCAAAACTGACAATTAAAAAGACAGCTTTATTTATTTGTCAAATTACATAGAAATCGACGCCAACCCGGCACAATATTTTTTCTACTCGTAATAAATTCCTTGAAATAATAATTTCTGAATATCTTTTTTAAACGTAACTCGCTATGAAAAAAAATATTGTTTATACACGACGATAAAATTGCATTATTGCCTCCCGAAATTAATTCACTCGCGATTTCATCGATTGTGAATTAATCTTTTCGATCGACAATAAAATACCATTTTATCGTCTTGTATAAAAAATAACTATTAAACAATAATTGGCTCTTCTAAAAGAATTATGATCTTTTCGGATTGTTTGGTCATATTTTGTTTACTTTTTACAACTGGCAGCCCTACAAAAAACAGAAAATATAAAACAATTTATCCTATAACAACTAGATTGTATCTAGTAAGTTATGAAAGAAAAAAGAAGTGTAATATTTTAATTATGTGGGGATATACAAGGGTAGAACAATAAGTATCTCTACTGTTATGTTTAGCTACCAATCCGCAATCATGTAATAAATAAGTTTCGTCCATTTAGATGAAGCGTTTAAAGCGCTATTTCCACTAGTGGGTTAAAGTAACTTTATTTCGCCAGTGAAATACTGAAATTCTGTTCTCTAGACATAGCAGATAGCAGGCGCATCATCTTCTTGCATTTTTCGTGGTTTTTAAAAAATATTTGCAACTGTATCTTATCATGATAATAAATAACTAACGTATAATCGAACAAAAAGCGTCTAGTTGGCATGGAAATGACGATCGATGACATTAGTGATGTAAACTTTAGTTTTAGTTACTTTTATGGACTCGTAACTACTAGTTACTTTTGGTAATAGGACTCGTTACTTTTGGACTCGTTACTTTAGTTACTTTAGTTACTCGTTACTTTGGTACTTAGTATCGTTACTTTATAATCGTTGTTTTGTGTACAGGTTGGAAGACTTGGGCTTGACGTGGAACTTCGTTACTTATTGTGCGCGGCGATCTTCGTTGCATGCTCGGTTTAACCTATAAGGGGTTTCTACTTTCTTCTAGTGTAAGGGCTTAATAGGATAATTTCAATACTCAGTATTAAAGTACTGAATAATATGTTTTTAATAATATTTATAATATTTTTATAATGATATGTTAAATAAAACTATGTACTATTAATAAAATTAGAAATAAAAGAAAACAAATCAAACAAAGAAAATATGTGCATAATAAATATAAAGTATTTTTTATATTATCTCTCTCTCTCTCTCTTTCTCTCTTTGTATTACATTAATAAATAGGCAAACATTAAAGGGTATTAAAGGGTAAAAATAAAAAAAATGTATATATTTTTGTTAAAATGTAAAAATATTAAAAAAATGTATATTCCTCTGTGGCGGATTCATCTCTTCAAAAAAATTCTTTTGGATTAACGCAGCAGTGTTTACTAAAAATTACTATTTTTATTTTGTAGATTTTCTTACAGTGTAAGTGGAGAAATATCTATTCTCTTTTGAAGAAGAAAAATATTTGCTCTGCTTTTTCAGATGTTAACATTTTTTGTGACTAACGTGAATCCATTTTTAATTAATATCTAAGACATGTTAATCTAAATAAACAATTCTATTCTATAAATGAAAAGCGACAACAAACGGCAAAAGGACAGACCGCCTCCGGGTCGGCATGAGCCAATCATAATAATTGTAATAAAAATATCACACATTTGCCATCCAAAACACCGGCCGGCGTCAAGTCAACACTTTAAACATAAATATATTGATAACAACTAGACCTACGTCGAAGTAAGGAATATTTCAGTATCGAGTTTCGAGTCCTCGGTTCGTGCATTTCCAGGGATTAGGATTACTGCCCTCGCAAAAGTAACGAATTAGCTTGTAACGAGTAACGAGTCCTAAATTCAAATAGTAAGCGTTACTTCGAGTCCTCATAAAGTAACTGTTACTTTGTAACGATTACTTAGAATTTTTACATCACTAGATGACATTTCCCATATAATTTTATATATAAAATGACAGCGATCTTCATTTCATAACTATCGCTTACGCCTTTTTTTTGAACAAATGGAAAGACACAACAGTTTTTTTAACTTATTCGTTCAAAACTGAAACTTATTCTTCAACCCTCGTATTTATTAAAATATTTTAATAGGTCATAGCAATTGTGCCAACCCTTGTAGTTGAAATTAGCGTACCAACCTGAAAAGAAAAAATATATTTCTAAAAAAAAATCTTCAAATGGTATACAGAAATCACCCTCACAAAAATTATCGTCAATTGTCATTTCATAGGTAACTGTGACGTGTTTTTTTACTCATAATCATTCTGGTTGATACGTAAAATTTGACTCTCTTATACATTGACAGTTTTATTGTAAAGTGGACCAAAAGAATAAAAAAGACAAAAAAGATACCTTCTGGTCAAATGATGTACTAGTCAATTTTAAAAAATAATTATATTCAGAGGTGTAGCCAAAAAAACATTATAAAGGTTTTATAATTTTTTTAATATTAAAATTGAACACAAAACCACCTCTTTGACTATACAACTGATTATACAAGATGGTCCATTTTAATTAGCGGACCACCCTGTATATACAGTCATTAAATTAAATGTGCGAGCTTTTTTAATATTTTTTTATGTATGTATATATACAAATAGATTCAGAATTATTTTTTAGACAATGTCTTCCAATAAAAAAATATTTTTTAAATGTTATTTTGCGTAAAGATATAATTTTATTTACAGATAACGGGTAGACCTAAAAACAACGCATAAGCTTTAAAAAAACACTGTTATACTATATTAGAATAAAAACACCATGTATAAATGTTAATTTATGTGAATTTACAGACTTCGAAAATCGCAGTTGAAAAAACGAAATCAAACATATCTATATTTTTGGTATATTTAAATATATTTCTAGTTTATAAAATGGTTGATAATTGTATTTAGGCAACTGGTAACACGCCAACGTCCTAGCGCCATAAAATGGCGGGGTATGAATTTACAATAATTATAATAAAAACAAAAACCCGAAAAATATAAATGGACATTTTAGAATTGGAAAAAGCCTTAAAATTATTGTGATAAATAGGTTCATTTGTTGTACTTAGACGATAAAGTTAAAAAACATTCCTTTGAGAATGCAAAAAAAAAACAATTAAAAGACATTATAGTTAGGATTTTCTTTTATTAGATTGTTCTCAGTATATTATAAGCATATGTTCAATATTTACTATGTTATAAGGAATTTGTTTTTATTTCGGACGGAGAAGTGTATACTTTGTATTTTTTAAAAGTAATCTGTATAAAAGGAAAATATATATTTATCAAATATACCCCATTTGTTTTTGTCTAATAATTTAGAGTAATTTAAAGAGTAACTATAGAGTTATAATCTGTACTTTCCATTCAATAGTGTCCAAATATTCTATATTTTAAGATAATAAAATAGTATTTTCAGTTTGAATTTCTTTTAAACCGCCAGAAATTGTTTTCAGCGCCATAAAATTTTTGTGGCGAGTTCCTAAACTAAAAATTTCTAAAGCACCATCTTCTGTTCAATAGTTCAACTAAAGAAGTATAGTTTTCTATTTAATTGCATGTATTGACATCTATTAGACAATTGTAAAACTCTCCTAGTATCGAAATCTGCAAAAATTTGATATGTGCTGACATCTGATGGACGCTAGTTTAATTTCAATATTAAAGAATACTGTATTTTGTTTACAGATGCTGTCATCTATGGGACAATTGCCAAAGAGCTTAATTTTATTTTAAAGAAATCTGTAATTTTTAGACGCAAAAACTATGTTTATACAGAGCCCTCTATAATTTGAAAATTGTACTATTTAACAATAATTTGAGGAATAATTGTTTTTTGCATATATTTGAAAACTTTATAGCCGACTTTCTTCAAATTTGTCAATGATATTCTAAATTTTTGTCAAAGATTAAGTCCAGAAGTCAGGAGTTTCAAGATATATATATTTTTTTTTAATTAAAGATCTCTTTATAGCAGCAAGTTAGGATAAACTTCAAGAGGTGGCAGTAGCATTTTCTGTCGCAAATTATGACAGCGATTGTCAAAAATAAATTCACATTTTCTGTCAAGCAGCCGGCGAAGATGGACGTGAGTGATCACGTGATAGAAGAAGGATAGAAGGTAAACATTTTTTTTTAAATTTATCTTCTTAATCATTAAACTTTTTAACATTATACAACATTCCTTATCAAACTTAAAGTATTGATATTAACGAGAACTACATATTTTACTGATTTTCCTGAATTTTGGCCCTTTTATGATGAGATAACTTGTCTCGTTCGTATGATTATGAATGATTTCAACTAATCGGAATATTCTGATCTGTTTGTTGATGTATTTTCTTTTTAACTAATGTTCCTTTGTTACTGAAATGTTTTTTGTGTTTCAGCCAGCTTACAAAATCATGGATTTGGATGATATTTACCGCGTGTCATAGATCTTGAATGGTGAGTGCCTGTTATCATATTCTTGGTTTATTTTAATCAAAATTAGTTGTATTTCATGATGATTTTTATTTAGACAAGCATATGACTGAATATGCCGTGTTGATAATTTTTTTCTGAGTTTTACAAACATAATTACTGCAAGTTTTTCAAAGTGCTTTCGATAAGTAACTTATTATTAAGTACTATTTTTTTTCAGATTATGAACATATTTCTTGATGAAACAACCTGAGAAACCATGAAAGACCCTTAAATAAGGTAAGCATGACCTAGTTATTTGGATTTAAATCTAGCCCTAGCCAATATGGTCTTTTTGTTAATGAATTAAATTCTGAATATTTAAATGAATCTTAAAAGAAAGAAATTTTGCTTCTGTAATATAAATGCATTTGCGGAAACATGAGTATCATTAAAATATAAGAGATATAACATAATTTAAAAAAAATCATTCAAATTATTAATGATGATAAAAATTACCGTCTGAAGGTTTAATGATTTTAACTTTTGGCTGCATTTTTATTGCTGAATAATTTAATTTTAGTTAAATACTCAAAAAGATGTCTGAATATACATTTTTAATTATTTTTTCTTAATTTCAGGTCAATCTTTTAGTTCAAATCTGCACTAGAACTTCAAGAAATTCAGCATTTTGTAGAATGATCTGTCTCCACCTAACTTGGTCTCTCTTTAGACCTGATACCAGTATTGTCCTGAATCTATAATAGAGGATATGACCTTTCTCTATTGTGAGGACCTGACCATGGTCCTCCTCCCTCAAATTGAAGACTCACCAACTAGCTGTCCTTACATTGGAATTCTGGCAAAGCTTTTGATACGTCCCTGTTTGCTTCTAAGTGGTGGACGGCTTTCAACCCTGGTTTTTTTCCTCTCCTTGCTGGGACATAGGTTAGAGGTACAGATGCCCCAGGCTGTTTCTTGGTTCCTTTACATCTCTTTTTCAAGGAGTGTTTTTGCTTTTACTTCCTCTGGAACTTCTCCCCTTCCCTAATTTCAGCGGATCGTCTAGTCCGCCTGGTTGGCCTAGCGGAAACGGAAGCTTGTGTAGTCTGTTGGGTCTAGAGGTAGACTCCCGATCTCTTATTAGAGGAGGTGGTAGCTTGTGTGTCCACTTGAGCAGACTGGTCTCGCGCAAATGTCAGCTGTCTTTCCTGTAGTTCCCTTTGAAATGGGTCTCTTGGATCTTCGCAGTCCAGGCAGTTCAACCAAGAATGGACGGACTAGGTAGTGCCATCCGACATCGTTATACGTCTTGGTGCAATTCCCTGGCCACGACAATACAGCTGGGGACAAGAAAATAAGATGCTCCTTAAATCCAGCTAAAATACGAGAGGGGACTCCGCCTGTCACACCTGACTGGGAGCTTCCCCACCAACAGCAAGGTCTCATATCCGAGAGGAAGATTATTATTTGGTAAGTTTGTTCTTCAATGTGATATATACGAGGGTACTTTGAAAAGTTTCCAAACTATATTCCGTGAATGTCGCTACATCCAGAGTAATGGTGAATTTGGAAACTATTCAGCTACTATACCTACTTTCTTAGTTATAAATGTATAATAAAGAGTTTTAAAATGATGTTTATAGTTATCCCTGTCATAATATAAAAAAAAATTGATGATAACATGGTTTCTGATTGTTCTATCAACTTCAAAAACCTTTTTTTATATGGATTATTCAAATTTCTAATGTTTTATTTCTTTTTCAGGTCTTTGAAATTTAAAGAAGTTTGCTGTTTTCATGGTACTGAATTGGTGAGTACCGTTTTGTTTAAAACTCTCTCTATAATAAATAAAATTGTAATGATGAAATTTTAAACGTATACGCTATTTTGAGTAAACTCCATGAAAACCACTTGCCCTCACTGATAAAAAATTAAGAAATTTTACATTTTAAATATGTTTTCATAGTTAATTAATCTATTTTTTTTCTTTTGCAGATTTTTCAATGGCTGGAGCTTTGAACAAGGTATGATCAACAAAATTCTTATTTTATCTAACACGTTTTGTATGATGTTCTTAATATACGCTATGAATAAAACTTTGATGTCAATATATAAACTGATATAATTTTTGGAATATTTTGTTTATTTTGTTAGGATTGTATGTGTATAAGTTTTATTTTTCTTACAGATATACAGCATATGGATGTTTGTACTTTAATGAAGAATTTTAATAAAATAATTTTTTATTATACATTTTGTTTTATTTTTAGATAAATTTTCAGAGTTGTTTTTTTTTAAATAAAGTTGATAGGTATAGTTTTTCTGAAGTCAGTTGGAATAGATTCAAATAGATTGTCGTCACTACTCCCAATGACTTCGGAAATACTATACATAGAAATACAATATGATCAAAAAAAAATGCCGTCAGCGATGGCTGTTAAATGATCACTGTCATTTTATATGTAAATATAATAGGGAATGTATTTGAAATATAATTTTAATTTGAAAGTTTCCTACAATTTTTTTGAATTAATAAGTTTTATTAAGTAAATAGGTATCAAAAAACAATGCGACAAGATTTGATTAAGAAAAACTGCAAAATACATTAAATAAACAATTTATTTTAACTAGTTTTGCCTTGTATATCTCTATAAATATTTTGTTTCTATTATAACATCACTGTCTCTTAAATGTACGTAAAAAAAAGAAATACCCCTCTTACAGAAAATATTTGCAAATGTATTATTTACATCTATCAGTAGCAAAACAGTAGAAATTAAAAAACAGACTTTCGAATATCTATTTAAAAACAATTCAAATAAACAATTTTTCAAGAAGTTCAAAAAATTGGTATGTCATTTATAAAAAAATCTGAGTTTATTAAATGAAAGAATGCTACTATTATAGAGGAAACCCCTGACATAACACACTTTACTACTGGTACATATAAATAATCGCTTATTAGAAACGATTCAGCTCAAATCTAAGCCGACCTGTCAAAACTCTGAATACCCAACGATGTTCAAACATCTGACAAACTCCGCCCCTCCGGTCCAAGGCTATTTGACATCCCCGCTCTTGATTTTCTCCACTATCAGCTCCAGCCTCGCTGTCAACTTCTCCAAAGACTCCTTGGTCTCCTCGAAGTTCTGTTTGCGAATCGCCGCAATAGCGCTACCTATGTTCAACTTGACCGAGTTCAACAGAGCGTTTTTAGGATCAACTTCCGACAATAAAGCAATGTCGCTGAGTTCAAAGCAAACGTACAGGACTTGGTGACAAGTCGATAAGTGGTTAGCCCACTGGTTATCCTTGACGTAAGCCTTGTAAGCTCGCTGGAACCTCTGTGCCTTCAGAATAGTACTTGGAGCTAACTTAGCGTACAGCTCCCACAAAGGAGGCTCTCCAGGAAACAGTGTTACCACCCTACCCAGTAACTCCCTAGTTTTCTGCAAGAATCTCGCGGCTGGAAGTCCCTCACTGTCAATTGTATCATCAATAACGTCACAAACCAACTCAGCCAGGACGTGGGTGTTCAAGAACTTCTCTTTCAAGTCCAACAATCGGTGGTACGACCTGATGACGTCGCTGTACATAGAAATGTCAGAACTGACCAGAAGGAAATTCTCCCAGACTTTCCAATTTTCGTAGTTACATTTGAGGGCTTCGAGGAGAGCCTGGTGGGCACTTCGTTTGTTGCCTATTTTGAGGTAAGCTTGCGCCAAGTTGTTCCAAGCTTCGAAACCATCCGGTTCCAGGGTGGTGTATCGTTTGTACGCGGTGGCTGCGACTTGCCAGTTTTGGGTCTGGTGGGCTGCGTAACTGTGTGTAAAATAGTAACACTTTTATTATTATTTTTTTCATTTGAGGTATGATAAAAAAAAAACGGCGTCAAAGACGGCTAAGGAATAACAATCGACGATAATTTTGACAAGATAAACCTCTAAAAATTGACACATAAAACTTAATCATCAAAAATTAACACTAATTATAGAAAAACTGAAATGACGTCTAGGACGTGACCTCGCCAAAATTATCATCGATTGTCATTCCCCAGCCGTCTTTGACGCCGTTTTTTTTTCGACAGAATGGTATTTTCTATATTTCAGAATTTAAATTCTCTAACATAGTATTCTTTAAAATTTCTGATATTAAAAAAACTTACCCTAGTCTGAACCATACGTTGGCTTGCAAAGGATTAATGGACACGCTTTTCTCGAAATGCGGAATACAATTCTCGTATCTCTTCCTATTGAACAGGTAATTACCCCAATGCCTTTGAGCTCTATGGCTCCTTCTCTTGGATAAGTCCCAAGCAGTCTCATAACAAGTAATATCATCGGTAGCGTCACCTAAACATGATGATAAAATGATGATAAAAAATAATTTACAGTATCCAGAAAACCATATATACAGGGTGTCCAAGAAATAAGTGCAAGTATTTTAACTGGTAGTATAGTTCAACCCTAGAAACACGCCTATGAGGGTCTTCTTCGCGAAAAAAAAATTTTGAAAATTCGAAATTTTTTGAAAATTTTTTTAGAATTGTTTTAGTATTTAGTTAAAAAACATAATTTCTTGATAATATGACAACATAGGTAAATTTACACGAAAGAAAATCCAGAAAAGATCCAGTGGTTCTCAAAAGCAAAATATAATTTTTTTTTAATTTTCAAAGTAAAATAACTCCGTTATTTTGGACTTATTTCGAAAACGATAAAGAGAAAATATGTTTCTTTTATCGAGATCTACCACTCCTTAAAATGCTTGCACTTATTTCTGGAACACGCTATATATAAAAGAATACCCCACTGGCATGGCTTTGGGTCCCGATTTCCGTATGATAGAAGAGTACAATGCATTTATAATGTACTGAACAAAGATAGAAGAGTAAAAACGTTGCCAAACGTATCAAATAAACCAAGAAACTCATTACACAGTAATGAGTTTCTTGGTTTATAGCATGTACATTGCTAAGAGACGTGGAAGGGGATATGACAGCTTCGTCAATAATAAAATTAAAATCCAGTACTTAGCATCCTAGCAAAGGGTGTACATCATGCGTTCAGCGCGTAAAAAACTGTTTTTTACGCGTAAAAAGTATTTTTTTTAAATTATTACTTTTTCAAACTTCAACATTTTTTTTTCTTCAAACTTTTCAACATTCAAGTCATTCAATTTAGTAGCTGTTAGTAAGAAGTTTTACTTCAAATTTACGCACATAGTGCACACGCATTTTTTAAAAAATTTCTGCTATATTTTCTACGTTGACAGTATGTGAAAATATTTACAAACAAAAAAGTTACACGATATCTAAAAATAACCATGTAATAAAAGTTGACGAACGTGTTTTTTTAAATTTTTTGAATGAAAAAAAAACAAGCCTATCAAATTTTTCTCATTTAATCTAAATCTAATATCTAAAGTGGTTCTCGAATTATCGCGTGTTATGTATTAAAAAGTTGAATTTTCTTCAATTTACCTTTTTTTTTCATTCCAAAAAAATGGACACCTTAACGATATTCTTAAGCCGCGTCCAAGCTACTCGAACAAAACGTTCGCGAACATATATAATTCCCACTATATACTCGTAGCAGCAGGTCGTAAACGACGGCACAGCCCATCGCATCGATCCCGAGGACTGGGGAGCGGGGAAGAATGCGAGAACCAGTTTGCTCTATAGATCTAGGATGCGTTTAGGTAGTCGCTGTTTTTTCGAGTGCGCGGATTTCGAGTGCAAGCATTTTATTAAATATATTAACCGGTAAACAGTTTAAGAACTTTTATCGTTGAAGCATCAATATTTAGCAGGCGGAGGGTCACAGGGGTCTTTTGGTAGATTATTCGTTATAGTGTATTTTTAAGACCTGTATTCATTTTCAGCCGATTCTACCAGGTGTTTCTCAAAAGGGGCTCACTTTTTTACTTTTTTATTTTTTCAGATAATACAACGAAATTTGATTTGTTAGTATATGACATAAAAATAAAAATAAAATGATAAAAAATGGGATTGATTGACGTATTCAATTACCTTCGGTCGCTTCCTGTTTCACCGGAAATGACTACAACTTTGTATTTTTAGATTGTATCCTAAGTACTTTTTTACTTTATTTGATAGAAAATGACATTCTGAATAGAATGACATACCATACGTCAATTTTAGACATTTCCAATTAAATAAAAATAGCATTTTAAACTTCAATCTAGAGTGCCAAGACAAATAGGTAGTGACCGAAAATAAATGAAAACGTCGATCAATCCTGATTTATGTCCTATACTAACATACCAAATCTCGTTTTTTATCTAAAAAATTAAAAAAGTTATAGAAGTGAACCACTTTTCAGAAACACCCGGTATATTTATTTCTAAAAATGTAATGGTAAAATTTCATTTCCGGTGTCAAACTTACTATTAAGTAGTACTTTTTAATTTCAGAATCCCATAATAATTTTAATAATAACGGTTTTTAATAAAAATAATCATAAAAGTCTTTATTAACAAAAATTAACTTATATGGACGAAGTCTAGCTACATAGCTATTCACACTCAACCCACAATAAAATTAAAATTATAAAATCTTTTCTTTGTGTAAACAAATTAGTTGTAAATTTTTTTCACAATTCCAGTCAATAACTGCGTCTCCCATTGTCGAATACTCGATAAAAAATAAAAATCACAGATGGACGCCCGAAATTAAATGAGACCCTTCCAAGTGTCCGGTACAATGTCCGCCGAAATGCACGCCGTTCGCTCCTTTTGATTTACCGACACCCGTCGGAAAAAGAACGCGCGCGCTCTAGCATAGGCAGACGCACGGTCTGGCGTACAAGCTAGCCGTTCGGCGCTCCGCGCTCCTTAATTGTTCTCTCCTGTACTTGTTGGCTTTATTATTTATAAATCTACCTATCTCACAATTTTCACTTAGTATCTGTTTAATTATATTATGTTCGCGAACATTTTGTTCGAGTAGCTTGGACGCGGCTTTATATGTAAGTCGATTCCAAATGCCCAGAAACATAGTTAATGGTTTTATCTAGTTGTACTTCAAAAAAAAATTGTAGAAATAAACGCCTTTCGACAGTGATTTTACTCCACTAGACAGGCTAAGACGCACCTGTATCTCCGATAAATGTGGCAACGCTGCAACAGCGCGCGTTTTACTTCCGCACATGTAAATACCGACCCAAGAACAAGACTTGCCAACGCGGTATAGTAAGGCCGTAGTATATTCTTTTATACCATCCTGGACACTTTATCTGCGTGATCTCTATTTTAATGCATGCAACAGAGATAAATATAAATGACTGGTTGATAGACAGAGAGACAAAATAAAAAGCGGCACACAGTGTTGCCGGTTTTTACGTGTGTAGAAAAAAATTTACTATTTTAAAAACTTTCGTGTGTACTACTGGTATGAATATAATATATCTAAGATAAATATAATCTATTGCAGCTGTAGTAAAATGAGTAACTAATTATGAAAAACAAAGTTCCAACCCTAGAGGCAACGTTTTACATAAACGCCTACTTGTGCGGTTTGACATTTTGATGCAAAATCCCAACTTTTATCTCTTTTTAATACATTTGATTTTCCATTAAGCTGTTTACATCACTGTCTTACACATTAGAATCCAGAGGACGCTTTTATGATGACCATATTGGTATATCGAAAATAGAGTAAGATTAATTCTCACCTAACAAACACCACAATTTGACCGTTGGCTTCTTGTCCAGCTGTTTTTTGATTATTTCCGCAGCCTTGTGCCTTAATTTTAGGATCGTGTAACACACTATCACTTCCTCCCATAATTCCAACTTCAAATATACATCGAGGGCGTTCTTGGGTAGACCAACGTTTAACAACAAATCGGCATATTGAGTTGTAACCTACAAGAATTTTTATATCAATATAACTGCAAAATAAAACACTAATTCACTACAATACACCAAAACACTTTTACTTTTTGCTAATTGACTCTAATTTGACGCAAACCAAACTTTACCTTCCATAGTGGTGGCAATCCTGTACTAAAAACATCGTTAAACCTATCACATAACTGTAACTGTTCGTTCCTAAAACTATTTATAACCTCTTCACATTGCCTTAAGGCTCTTTCGATAGTTCTTCTATTTTTGGACTCTGATTTACACCTGGAAAAAAATTATAACCGATACAATATTAATAAATAAATAAATAAATGCCTTTATTGTCAAAATATTTTACAATTTGTAGACAAAGATAAAGTAAACAAACAAAAGAGAATACAAAATAAGTATACAAATTACATTTTCAGTCTTATTGTTTAAAATAAACATTTATAAATGTTTACAATGTCAAAGAATAAAAAAATAAAAATAAGATTCAAAAATATTTAGTTTATATAAGTTTATAGTAAATATGGTAATAGCAAATATTAGACCAGTGTTACAAGATCAAATTCGATTATCAAAAGTCATTTACGGCGTAGTAAGCCTTGTCTAGTAAATAAGATTTCAATGCTTTGCGAAATGAAGAAAATGATGTTATGGATTTGATTTCAAACGGTAGGTGATTGTGCATTTTTTTCGAGTTGTATAATATTGAACTTTTAACTAACTCTGAGCGTGGGCTAGGTAGATAAAGATCTTGCTCCGCGTTCCTGAGTGAATAAGTGTAAGATGGCCTTTCTTGAAAAGCTGATACACTCTTACGTATTAGGCAAACAGATTCAAATATAAATAAGGAAGAGTTAATATTTTCAATTTTTAAAAAAAGTCCTGGCAATGAGTTCTGCCAGAGAAGAACAAACGTAGAGAAGGGACAAAAACCGTCGGCACTATTGAAGTAGGGGGGACCAAGTTTTGTGACCTTCAAATTGGCGTACGTGACAGATAGCATGTTTATAGTAGTTTATGTTTATAGCTACACTGAGAGAAATTCAATGAAGGCAAAAGAAATAAGAAAAGTTGTACACTGAAAAAACGTGTGTGTTCAGTAAAAAATATATTAGAAATATTTAGGAATCATATTGAATAGTAACTATTTTTTAAGATTTAACGGTTTTCCGCGATTTGTGGATTTACCGCGTTCTAACCATTTTCTAACATATTCCTTTTAGAGAGACATTTTCAAATCGTATCTGATAATATTGTTTGTTTCGAAATTAATATTTGAAAGTTGGTTTTTAAGTAAAACAATTTTAAGAAAAATTCGAATATTTATCAGCTGTTATCACAAGCAAACTAAAAAGTAAATAGAACTAAAAAGTAAATAGCATGATTACAGTTGAGGGTTGGAACTGGGGTATTAAAATAGCAAAATAAAACACTAATTCACCACAATACACTAAAACACTTTACATCAGTGCATCAGCAGATGATTAAAAAACATAATATCTTTATAATATGAGAACAGAGATGGTAGATTAAATTTACAAGAAAGAAAACCCAGAAAAGATTTAGCTGTTCTAAAAATGTTTAATTTTCAAAGTATCTCGGTTATTCTGGATTTGTAACGGTAAAAACGGTAAAGAGAAAATATGCTTCATTTATCGAGGTCTAACAGCCCTGAAAATATTTGCACTTATTTAAGACTCACTCTATATATTAAAAAATCATATTTTACCTAAAAAACCATATTACATTTAAAGATAACACAACTCAAATTAGCGCCGCTATATATGCGATAAAATATTTAATTTTCTTATCTTTTTGTTTTATTTTGAAGTCTCCATTCGTATATTTTATAGTATAGAATATTTTCAGCCTGATAAAAAGTTTTATAGCATTTATAGTCTTTTGGAAATTGAGGACATGGGTGTTCCAAATGTTCTTTGTTCATTAGACTATACAGTTTTTGTGAAATTGATGGCCCAGTACTAATATTCTCAAAATTAGAATTAAGTAAATATTTTTTCTAATTCATTTATTCATTTATATAACAAGGCTTTTAATTTATACCCCCTTTGCACAAGGGGGCAATTTATTAATTTTGCAAAAGGCAGTTTTTAATAATTGAACGCTAAAAACCTGCATTTATTTTAAGTTTTAATAATATTTAGTCCTGAAAGTTAGATTCTTTCTTTAAGTACTATTATAAGGTAAGGATAAAATATAGATTAATTAATTCAAAAAAGATTATTTACACAAATAAACAAATAGTAAGATTTCAGGACTTATCATTAACAATGGCAACGCTGGCCGTATTCCAAAAACACGTTGAGATGACAGTTAGCATGTTTACCTCCCACTCCAAATTTTTAGGCGGGATTCGTTTTGTCGCTTCTCTACGTTTGTTCTTCTCTGGTTCTGCTGTTTAGTCCCAGTGAATATCAAACAGCTCTCTTCTGGAGCTTGAAAATGTGGTAAAATTGAGTCGTACAACACGTACCCCCGAATGGAAGGGCATATCTGAGGTGCGACTCAAAAAGTGCGTAATCAACAGTTCTATAGTTACTGACAAGTTAAGCTCCTTAGAAACAGATCTTAATGCAAAACAGGCAGAGCTTAATTGTTTCGACATTGCGTCGATATGCATGTCCCATTTCAGAGAATTGTCTACAACAAGCCCTAAGAATTTTACAGATTTTACGACGTCAATGGTGGTGTTGTTAAGTACAAAAGGCTGCAGCGAGTTTTTATATGACAAAGCTTTGGTTTTAGAAATTTTAAGACTCAGGAGGTTCGAATCTCACCAAGATTTAATGGTGATTAAGTCATTTGATATAATCTTACCTTAAAAGTTAAAAAAACTTACCTTAAAAGTAACGCAACTACCCTAACACAAAACGTATTTTTATGTGACAAAACCAGCTCTATAAAAGGCAGTAATTCCTCAGTTTGTAGTTCATCAGGAGGTTTAGCTATTAACATCTCCTGCACGATGGTTAAGAATAATTTTTGTGCTGAATTCGACAGAACTATCTCCCCGTTTATACTGTTCGTGTAGGCTACATTATCTAGTCTCACATCGTCATTCAGAGGTAAATTTTTAGGTAAAACTGAATCGTCAGTGTTTAGGGCAATATCAAAGTCGTAATGTTGGGTAGTGCTCTCTATATTACCGTTGGTTCGTTCGTTTGAATTAGTGTTTTGAGTTTTTTCTTCTAAAATATACAATTTTATCAATGATTAATACTAAATAGCAATACTAAATAATATTTCCAATAAAAAAAAATTGAAAAAACACTTACCATTTATGTTTACTTTTAACGCCAACTGGGATATTTCTTTTTCCTGATATTTAGTCCTTTTTCCAAGCACTCCTATATAATCATACTTCAAATTTAATAGATCTGTGGCGGAATTGATGTGCTCCTTGGCCTTCGAAACGTGTCTGAAGAGCAGGTACAATTGTGCCACCTCAATATCCAAAGCTATTTTAATATTATCTATAAAAAAACTTACTTTAATATACTAGGTATAATATCTATAATAAAATTAGCCTGCATGTCATAAAAATATATGGCGACTGCACGTCGCAGTGTTGCCAGAGCTACATTTTTACTGGTAAATAAACCAAACCGAAAGTGCACACTATGTTTCATTTAATTTGGTAATAGTTTGGATATCTTTGATGACATGCACGCAAATTTTTAATGATTTCTCTATATATTACCTATACCTTTCAACGTAGGGTTTATTTGAAGCAGTTTATATAGTCTGTCTGCATCAGACAAAAGTGATGGACAAAGTTCCTCGAGACACTGTTGATGCAAGTACAAAGCTCTCCAATACCACCAAATATTCACAACACTGTTCACAATGCACCATTCGAAGATTATTTTTGCTGTAACCTATAATAACAAACACCCTGTATTCTAATAAAGCTCAGGCTTATTTTTAACTCACCAGTAATTGAGGAAACTCCGTTAAACAGTTAATTTCTTCGTTGTTGTAGCTTAACATCTTGGGGAAATTTATCAATTGAAATGCGTCCCCTTTAAGAAATGCCCTAACTTTGTCGCTTGGGTCTGGTTTGGTGAAATTCACTTGTGTAAAGGCAACCAAGCAAGCAATTCCAAACTAACAAAATTAAAGAATAAACATAACAGTTTGTTTCACAAAATTGAGTAACCTATTACCTTAAATATTTCTGCTCTTTCTTGATCAGTCTTTGAGTTTAACTTAACTTTTAGATTAGTAACATCGTACTGAACTTCCAAAAAGATATTCCACGTTTCCTCATCCAGCAAATAGCTTTCTAGATCTTTAAACGTTTTTTGAATATCTTCCCTGCACGATTCCCTCTCATTTTCCTCAACTTTTCTCGGTATTAACAGGTACTCCTGAAGCAAATCCACTAAATCGGCCATTGTAAAACGTTACATAGACTTAACACTACGAGACAATCACTTAAAAACAATATTTTACAATTTAATTATGGAAAAAATGCCCAAAATTCCCACATGGCTCATCCAAAAAATTAAACTGGGTGAAAAAAATGGCTGTCATCGCTGTCAATGTCACTTCTTCTACTCTTTTAGCGGCTTTTCGAAAGATTTCGCTTTATTTTAGAAAAAAAACACCGTTTATATTTCTCAAATAAATAAAATATATTTAAGATAAAATGTATAATTCAATTACAAACTAATTCTTACATTTACAAGAGTTTCTTAATTAAAAACAATAAAAAAATAATTCATATGGATTTGAGGCTAACTTCGCTCCTATTAATACAGGGGCGGTTTAAAAAATACAAAGAGATTAATAAATAAAATGAGTTTGAGTAAATTGAGTTATGTGGGTATTTCTTGTTCCGGAGTGGGTAAACTATCTCCAGAATTCTTCATTAAACCTATATGTAGCTGATAAGCGCTTCCAAACACATGATTCGGGTCAATAAAGTCATATTTCGCCTGCAAACTTGTGAGATTCTTATCACTGATCAAATAAGCGTTCCAACCCCATTGTTTGGCACCCTGATAGTCCAAGGATGCTTTATCACCGATATGTAAGCATTCTTCAGGCTTTATTTGATTTTCTTCAGACTTTTCGAGAGCCAAATCGAAGATTTCCTTGTTAGGCTTAAGTACACCTACCTAAAAATCATTTTTTTTGTATAAAACTGTTACAGAAAAAATTGTTTTTTACTTCATAGGAACTTATGACAAACTTAAAGTAATCTTTGAGCTTCATATTGGTTAAAATAGTGTGAATTCTTGGATCAAAATTACTCACTACACCCATCGGAATGTTTTTACTTTGAATATAAGACAAAAGTGCGGGAATTCCGTAGCAATGTTGCCAGCAAGCTGACGTTTTATACATTTCAAGGAGGTGCGATGCTACCTTGTCAAGTTTATCGTCATCAAAAGGCAGTTTGGATGATTTAAACGTTTCTTTAGCTACGGTCGTCCACCTGGAATATAAAAGGTATTTTACTTTCTGAAAGTCCCTCGTAAAATTAGGGTAGGTACAGTGTTGTCAAACTGAACGAAATATACGTAAAACTTACCAGTTTTCCCACCCCAAGCCTGTCGCAAGCCCGAAATTGGGGTGTTCGTTGCTCATCCTGATAAATTGTTCTTTGAAACTTTTATTTAACGCGTTATTATCAGCCACAACGCCGTACATAGCTCCTATTTCTCCATATTGTTGCCCAGGGACGGTTCTTAAGCGTAATAAGGTTCCTGTAACGTCAAAAGTCACTAATTTTAGCTTGGAGAGATTCATTGTCTGCCGGAAACCCTAGAAACAGCGCGAAATACTGAAAAAACTGAAAACGATTAGGTAAACAAGATGTTTGCGGTGTTGTCACGACTCATGTTGTGGATGGGGATTTTTCACAGCGTGCTGTGAAAAGTCTTGTTTACGGAATCGGTCATGGAAGAAAATATTGATGCGGTGCGAGGATCAAAGGTTGTCTTGAGCTACGGGGGTGTGTGAATTGGTTGTCACAAGTTAAACACTACCGGGGAGTTTGAGGAAGTTTGTACAATATTTTGAGTTAATTAATCAATCAATAAATTAAATTATATTGTTTGTTATGAAATAATTAAAAAAATAACTGCATTTTCTTAGAATTGACTCAAAAAGTTCTCTATTTTGGCAGTATTAAATTATTAATTGAAAACGTGTTTAATTATACTGTAGGATAAACTCACACAATGTTCACTTTTTAATTCTACATCTAACAAAAAAATAATATACAAGGTGTTCCATTAAAAAAAAACAAGAAAAATTACTTTATATTTTAGAAAGTTTGGCATAGACTTTTGAACGCCCTGTAGGGTTTAAGATTACGATATAATATATTGCACAGTAAATACAGACCAACTATAATAAATACCTAGTACAGTTTTGATTTCAGGACATTTCTTGTATTTTTAATATTTTTTTTTAAAAGGCTGGAAAAACATATTTTGTTTACTTATTTAAATCTCTGAAAATATCAAAACAAATTTAATAATATCTTAGGATTATGTAAAGTGATCAGAAAGGAAGCCAAAAATGCAATAATATACAGGGTGTTTTAAAAAACATTTAAAAAAGAATTCCAATCCACTCATACTTTTTTGAGCCACCCTGTAGGAGTTAAAATATTTTCCTGAATACTTTAGGTTTACACTTAAACAAAATTCTTAAGTATTTTTATTATAGGAGCTACAGAGATGCCCGACGCACTATTGCCAGACCCTGTATATATAAGCTTCATTTTTTTTACTTACCTATACATATTTTTCTAGAAAAGAAAAATTTGAAATACTTAATTTTGTGTAATATTATTTTTTATACTATTTTATTGAAAAAAATGCTATAATTTATTTATTCTTTTAAAACTATAATAATAATAAGCTTAAATAGACCATGATTCGTATATAATCATGCTGATAAAATTTAGTTTATTTCCATTTCCACCCTATCGAGAAAATCTGACATAAAATAATCTGCGCAAGCCTAATTTTCCAGCTGTTTTCCAATGATTTTCACGCACTAGCAATGTCAGTTTTTCAAGATTTTTCTCGCTACATTACTCTAAATAAACATTGTTAACAAAAAGAACGATTTAAAGCAAAATTAAGTCTTTTTCAAGAGTTCTATATCATATAAAATATTAATAAACACACAAAAGACACAAAAAGCTCCTGGATTAAAGAAAATATGATGGAAAAAGAGTGCGACATAAAAATATTGTAAACCAAACCAAAACAGAATGTGAAAAATAAAAAAGAAACCATAAATTTTAAAAGATACATTTTTGTGGCATATCATCGTTATGAAATCTAGCCATGGTGGTGAAATTTCCCAAGAATATATACGGTGACCCAAATAACAACCTGGATTTCAACTTAAGAACAATATGATTCTGAGTGATATTGCCCTACGATTTTTCATAGTTTATTTTGAGATTGGTGCTGTTTTTTCTAGCAAGGTTCTTCAAGAAGGTATGATACGTTCTATATTTTATTTAGACAGGGTCGTGTATCGTAAATTTTGAATCGTAAATTATTAAGTTATCGTAAACAACGATGCAACACCCGGTATACTATACACAGTATCCCATATAAGAAAAAAAACTACAGAGATCTCATAGAGAACGAACCAAAAGATATACAGCGTTGCCAATAATATAAAATATCCTCCAAATTTAGGTATTTTTTGTAACAATCTTTTTATTGTATTTTTTTTTGTCCTCCTAGATTTGACTTCTGATTCATGTTCACCTCCGCTACTAGCTCTTAACGGTACACAAACAGAGAAAGGGGAATTAAGAATAAAGAAGGACTATTCCCATGTGAAGGAGGTTAAGTTTTCTGGGTCCATCGGACCACTGGGTGAGAAAAGATTGTGCAAGATAAAATGCATAGGTGGGCAGTGGGTTGGACCACTGTGCGTAGACCAGCAAGGTATGTAGAGAATGATTTACTTCAAAATAATATGGTAGACAACCTTAATAGTATTTTGAATTCTCCAATAAATACCAGAATATTATACTGGGTGTTCAATATAAAATAAAAAGACTAACTTGCCTTTAAAAGTGACCAAAGTTCAATATTAATTTTGTCTCACCCTGTATATCTTTTCGGGTCCAGTTTTAATTTGATTTAAAGTACAATGGATATTTTAACTAAATATTAGGCTATATCGGGTAAATTACAATTTAGATAGATTTTAGCGATGTTTAAATTTTTTATTCGCTTTTAGAAAATGTTAAATATGTCAAAAACCTTACATTTTAATCATATCATTCTTCAATGAAACTCACCTTTATTTTTTTCTAGAATCCGAAAATCAATTAATATATAGGGTGTTCAATTACAAAAAATACAACTTTGTTGATGTGTACCTTTTTTTGAGACACTTTATAAAATCCAGGTCTTGTAAACTCGTTTCTATTAGTTTTCTTCGGGGCATTTTTATTCTAATTTGTTTATAGAATGTTAATTATCAAGGAGCACACGTTGTTTTTCGTTAAAAGTGACTTTTATTGATAATTACCTCTAATTTTATTGTTTGTAGTATACGAAAAAAATGGTAAATTCGTGTTTTAAGTTACTGTTCTTTGAAAAGATGTTTATTAAAGCTTGTTTTAGACTTGTAGAGGTAATTTCCGCAATTTAGAGTCGCTTAAATACGTAATTCTCTGAAGAAGCTGATACTCCAGGCTGTAAAACACTATAATTTTAAAAAATGCTTTAAATTAACTTACATAAGCTCTTAAAATTTCACTTCAATACAAACTGTCGTACTCTTTGGAGATTCGTTAGAGAGGCGACACCCTGTACTTGCACTTATTCAAGAGAGGCCCTGTACAATTTTGGAGAGTTTCTTAAGCACAGAATACAGGGTTAATTACAAACTACTGTGTATTCTGTGTTATTATTGTACTTATAATTACATTTTTTATTATCATATGGTACAGATAATACTCTATTTGTAGATAATGGTAGATTTCAGCCGTTATTTAAAAACTGCAAGCTGGAATACATCAATCCACATCTTGTAGTGACATTTAAGAATATAACAATACATGTAAGTAGCCCTTGTAAAATAAAAAACAATCACAAAGTTTTAAGAAAGTCAGACACACAAAAACATTTAGAAAAACAATTTCTTTTAATAATGGAATTTTAAGAATCCAGGATTGGTATTTCCTCATGGGTCACAACTACAAATCAGATGCAGAGAATTGGGACTGTATAAGCTGTTGGGTACTGCCAATCCTAGGTGCCATAACGGTGAATGGTCTACAAGGTTGCCCAGTTGTGTATCAACGACACTTCTTACAAATTATACAGGCACGTACATTCAGAGTTTTTTTTTCAAAAAATATGCAGATAATCTATTATATCAACTTATTCAAATAACTTTTTGTTTATAACAACATTTTTTATTGTAGAAGATTCTCCGCCTACAATCCTGATTAAAATCCCATCTGGATCAGCTAGTGTAGAACCCGGAGGTGATCTAGCGGTCTTTCCAGGCTCTACCCTTCATTTCGAATGTTTATATCCCAGAAGAGTAGGGTCACCTGACTGGACTTGGACAACACCACTTGGACAGTACCTGACAGGTATATATTTAAAAGAATAGTTTTTTAATTTTTATACACTCACCCACAATAAATTTGGACAAATTTTTATCTTTTGTGATAACGTTGCATTTCTAGAGATCTTTCAAAATTTATGTTTTGAGTATAAATGCGTTAGATTTATTTGAAAAATACCGTATTAAAAACGGCGTCAAAATGATGGCTATGAAATGAAGATCGCTGTCTTTTAAATGTAAAATTATATGGGAAATGTCATCGATCATCATTTCCCAGCCAACTGGAAGCCGTTTTTTTTCGATTGTACGGTACCAATTTGCTGTATTATTTTTATTAGGACCAGTAAATACTAGAATTTAAGATTGTCTAGATCCCAATCTAGTTTTTTTTTCCAAAAAAAATACAATTGGTGCTTTTTATTATAATTTTGTGTATAGTTTCTTGGGATCTTAATGAAACAACTGTCATTTTTGTGTTTGAGTGTACCAACATCAATGATAATGACTAGAGTACTAGGTATATTAAATTTTCTTTGAATTTTTTGTTTTAAGGTTGGGCTATAGCTTCCGAAGAAAGAGACTGGAAATACCGATTATCCATTTATTATGCCAAATCACAAGATTCGGGTACTTTTACCTGTGCTACACCGAGAGGAATCACAAACAGTATCACTCTTCACGTCATTGGTAAGTTTATTGTTCGCTAATATACGTGATCGCCGCGATTCAGCGGCAGGTGTATCTTAGAGATGAATGAGACTGATGGCCTTGGTCTTGCAAAAAAGCAGGAACAAGATCAAGACCAAGTCTAGCATTAAATCTGCCAGACCAAGATCAAGACCGAATGCAAGACTTACCCAAGATCAAGACAGCAGAGTGAGAACCAAGACAGCAGAGCATTTTTGAGCAGTCCACGTGTTTATCAAAAATATTGATATTTTAATACAAAATTTGTGAAACAAGTTATTTATTAATTTTTTATTTTACACTATTTGTTACAGGTAAAAACTTTTTTTACAGCAAAATAAAACACTAAATCACCACAATACACCAAAACACTTTTACTTTTACACTGGACGCGCGTTTCGCTAACCATGTTAGCATCATCAGCAGATGATTATAAACTGTGTTTATAATTGTTGAAGTTTATAATCATCTCTGCTGATGATGCTAACATGGTTAGCGAAACGCGCGTCCAGTGTAAAAGTAAAAGTGTTTTGGTGTATTGTGGTGATTAAGTGTTTTATTTTGCTATTTTTTACGTGTAAAAATAACAATAAAGTTTCAGTTCAAATATGCGCACATAGTGCACACACACTTTTTTATTGTCACGTTTTATATTGTAATGAGTTTTTTTTCTAGCTGTAACATGTGAACCTATATCGGTAAGCGGGATGCACCTTACAGTTCGAGTCGAAGGCACACGCTTAGGACACAGTGCCTACTTCTACTGCCCCACAGGCTACATGGTCAGTGGAGCTCCAAACCTTACATGCCAAGCTTCAGGTAAATTACTAACTTAAAATAAGAACTTAGAAAAATGGTTTGAATATTTTTTTATCTAGGCAAATGGTCGGCACCGGTACCAAAGTGTGAACCTGTCCGCTGTCCATCGTTTAGTGCCCCAGGTGGTCTTACTGAGCCCCATTTGCAGTTAGAAGAGCACAACAACAGTTTTGGGGGTAGAGCAGTCTTCAATTGTGCCTGGGGGTACAAATTGGTCGGTATCCCCGGATTGGAGTGTGAAATAAATGGGAATTGGAGTGGTAGATTACCCAGATGTGTTCGTAAGTGTCCAATAATAATAGGTATTCCCAGTAGCCCAATAACATGACAAAAGAACCTTCTGCAGTAATACTCCAAATATCTGAGGAATTGTTAGAAATATCAAATGGAAAAAATGTTAAAACTATCAAAAATAGTAGATAAAATAGTACTTTAACTTTTTCGGTTTGTAACCGCTACATGAGCTTGCTATATCTACAAAGTTTAGATGTTATTATACTACTACGGAAATTTCCACGGTATAGCTTATCCTTAACCTTGAAATATCAATGTTTTCATTGACCAGTATTGTACTTTTTAAAATTGAATAGTACGACCATAAACTGGACGGCTGCATTTTCTTTGATTTTTCAGAAAAATATGCTAAAAGTATGTTTTCACCTGCTGTTTCTTCTCGACGTTTTTTAATTGCTTCCATTTTTGAAAATTTTTGTATTCCTTTTCATAGGTTATTCGGGATTTAAATGGAATTAGTTCGGATATGGCGTATGTCGCCTCAGCCTGAATCTGTTGGTAATTTACTTATTTCGTTTTGAGCCATTTCTGGCTCCAATTCAATCAGCAATCGACATAAAAGAGAATTAAAAATATTGACTCAAAACTGACAACTAAAAAGACAGCTTTATTTATTTGTCAAATTACATAGAAACCAACGCCAACCCAGCACAATATTTTTTCTACTCGTAATAAATTCCTTGAAATAATAATTTCTGAATATTTTTTAAAACGTAACTGGCTATGGAAACAAATATTGTTTTATACACGACGATAAAATTGCATTATCGTCTTGTATAAAAAATAGCTATTTTTTAATACTGCGTCTAAAAGAAAAATAATATAAGGGGGTTCCAGTTTTTCAATTTACAATTATTAGAAAATGTTCTTTGTTTTAGCTGTTCAATGTCCTCCACCTGTACTACCCCTGCATGGTCACTTGATCCAATCGGAAATGCCTGGAATGGACGGTGGACGATATGCTGTTGGCAGTTTGGTTCAATTTGCTTGTAAAGGAGCCCATTTGCTTGAGGGTGAAGCCAGCATCATATGCACCGAAACGGGATTTTGGAGTCATCCACCACCATTTTGTAAGTCAATATTACTTTATTTAGAATGTAGAATGTATGTCTATTCTATTGTGTATTTTGTTTCTTCTTTTTATTAACGACATTGCTAACATAAACATCAGTGGTAAAATATGTCTTTTTGCGGACGACCCTAGCTTCACTTGGAGCAACAAGGACGTCACGGCACTTCATAAGATTATATCAAATGACTTAATCACCATTAAATCTTGGTGCGATTCGAACCTCCTGAGTCTCAACATTTCTAAAACTAAAGCTTCGTCGTATAAAAACTCGCTGCAGCCTTTTGTGCTTAACAACACCACCATTGACGTCGTAAAATCTGTAAAATTCTTAGGGCTTGTTGTAGACAATTCTCTAAAATGGGACATGCATATCGTCGAAAAAATTAAGCTCTGCCTGTTTTGCATTAAGATCTGTTTCTAAGGAGCTTAACTTCTCAGTGGCTAGAACTGTTTATTAGGCACTTTTTTAGTCGCACGTCAGATATGCCCTTCCATTCTGGGGTACGTGTTGTGCGACTCAATTTGACCGCATTTTCAAGCTCCAGAAGAGAGCTGTTCGATATTCACTAGGACTAAACAGCAGAACTCATTGCCAGGACTTTTTAAAAAAATTAAAAATATTAACTCTTCCTTCCTTATTTATATTTGAATCCGTTTACCTAATACGTAAGCATGTATCAGCTTCTCAAGAAAGGCCATCTCACACTTATCCACTCAGGAGCGCGGAGCAAGATCTTTATCTACCTACCCCACGCTCAGAGTTAGTTAAAAGGTCAATATTATACAACTCGAAAAAAATGCACAATCACCTACCATTTGAAACCAAATCCATAACATCTTTTTCTTCATTTCGCAAAGCATTGAAATCTTATTTACTAGACAAGGCTTTCTACGCCGTAAATGACTTATATTTTGATAATCGAATTTGATCTTGTAAACACTAGTCTTATGTTTGCTATTACTATATTTAGTATAAACTTACTAAATATTTTTGACTCTTATTTTTATTTTTTTATTCTTTGACATTGTAAACATTTATAAATGTATATTTTAAACAATAAGACTGATGACAATGTAATTTGTATACTTGTTTTGTATTCTCTTTTGTTTGTTTACTTTACCTTTGTCTACAAATTGTAAAATTTTTGACAATGAAGGCTTTTATTTATTTATCCCCCTTTCTTGAGTTATAACTCATGTCCTCGCGCACTCAGTGAGGAGTGCACTCAGGTGTTCTGGTGTTCCTCCATTTTTTCCAAACTTAAATCAAGCAAAATCTTTGATTTTTCTCGGTCTTAAGTCCTGAGAAATTTCTTCGAGTGTCTTAGATCGTTGGAGGATTCCCATTCCAAGTTACAGATGGAGTCTTCCAGATTTTTGAGTTCTGCTTTAAGACTCTATTACGCTCTACTGTTCGGGTCGCTCTCAGGGTCGGGTAAAGCGGGTGTGTGGCCGAAGGAAATATATATAATATATTTCAGAAATCTGCCGTCTATTCCTTCTCTCCAACTCCGTCTAGGTCTCCCTCTCTTGCGTTTGCCTTGTGGTGTCCAACTGAGTATTTTTTTCGGGATTCTGTTCTCTTCCATTCTTTGTACGTGCCCGTACCACCTGAGTTGGTTAATTTTGATGTCTTCTGATATTCGGTGTTTAACGCCCATGATGTTCTGAATTCTTTCATTTCTAACTCTATCCAGTTTCGATTTTCCGGCCGCGCGCCTCCAAAAGTCCATTTCTGTAGCTTCGAGTAACTTAAGGTTTCTTTCTTTCAAAGGCCATACTTCACTACCATAACTAATGATACTTTTAACTAACTTTTTTTTTAACTGTTATAAATTTTGTGATTGTTTTCTTTTGATACGGCCTTATCCCATAAAATACTGTTGAGTTGTCTAATTGCTTGTCTTCCCTGGTTGTTTCTGCACTTAATTTCTTCATCAAGGCTACCATCTTTGGCAGTGTTTTATTTCTTGCTGTTGCTGTTCTAGGATTATGTTCTGTTGTTCGCCGCCGATACACATATATTCCGTCTTCTTAAGGTTTACCTCCAGCCCCCACTTGTTATACTCTTCAATTAGTTTGCGGGTCATATATTCCAGATCCTCGTAGTCTTGAGCTAGTATTATTTGATCATCAGCGAAACAAAGAGTGTAAAGTATCGAGTCGTTTAATGGTATCCCCATCTGTTCACACTTCTTTTTTCCACGTTTTCAGAGCTTGTTCCAAATAGATTTTAAACAGTGTGGGCGATAGACAGCAGCCCTGTTTAAGACCTTTGTTTATGCTGAATCCTTTGATACTGTTTGTCCTTTCTTTACTTGGCTAGTGTTGTTCTTATAAAGTTCTTGGACAGCCTTAATTAATGTTATGCTGATATTAGTTTTCTCGAGGACTTCCCACAATTTAACTGGGGTACACTATCATATGCTTTCTTGAGGTCTACGTAGAGGAGATGTATTTCTTGATTTCTTGCCATCTTTTTCTCAATTATCTGTGTCAGTTTAAATAAATGGTCGACCGTGGATCTACCAGCTCTAAATCCCGCTTGTTCTTCAGCCTCCATATCCCGGTATTCTTCCTCAATTCTCTTTTTGACCAATTTTCCATAGACCCTTGAAACAGAGCTCAGCACGGAGATTCCTCAATAGTTATCGCAATCGTCTTTACTTCCTTTCTTGTGTATTGTTCTTATATATGATGTATTCCATTCTTTCGGTATATTTTCACTATTAAGGCACTTTTGGAAAAGACTAGCGAGCTGCTTATATAATTTATCCATGCCGTACTTGAGTAATTCTGGAGGTATTTCACCTGGACTAGGCGATTTTCTATTTTTCAGGGTTTGGCAAATTTGTTTTACTTCTTTCGTATTGATCCTCAGTGGAGAAGCTGCGGTTCTTATTTGAATGTCGGATTGTGGCTGAAATGTTTGTTGATATTCGGCCCTTTCTTCGGTCAACAGTTTAGCAAAGTATTCGTCCCATTTTGGTAATGTAATTGGTGAGATGATATCTTTAGTCTTCTCTTTTCGAAGGGACCTTAATATTCTCCAGCTTTCGGTACTTCTACTACCTCCTATATATGTATTAATTCTTGTGCAGTTTCTTTCCCAGCTTTCCCAGCTCAAAGCTTCAGCATTTGCCATAAAATAGCGAGCAATTTGTTACAAAACCATATAAATTATATATCACTATAATCACAAAACTTCAATCTATTTCCGTATTGTAACGGAATTTTAAATAATATCTTTATTTTCGAGAAAATTTAGCCCAAACATTAGGAATATTTTGTTGATGTTTGACCATCAAAATCTTAAAAATAAAGAAGTTGTCTAAAAATGTGCTACAATACGGATATAGTATAATCTTTTATCTTTAATTTCCTTCTTCATTTGTGTAAAAATACCTAGCCAGTTTTAAATAAAACGTTAAATTCCGAACGCTTATTTTGCTACTTTTTCGGACTACTGACATGAACTGTTAAGTTGGTTTAATTAATTTTAGTCCTTTAATTTTTACAGGTAAACCAAGATGTCCGTACTTGGGCGAACCAGAGAACGGGTCAGTGGATCCAACAAAGTTCGCCTATGATCCAGACGATGAGCTCCAAGTGACTTGTAATCCGGGATTCGAATCCAGACTTGAAGAGCAAAGATTAAAGTGTCTTCCTGATGGCGAATGGAGTGGTACTTTGCCAAATTGCACGAGTTACGAACAAATTTAATGATTATCCTTTAAAGAAATATCTAAAAAGTTACCTACCATTTCAAATAAAGTAAAAGAAAAAATACTAGGAAATTATATGTATTTAATAAGAATGTTTTTTTAACAGAGTATAAGCACAATATGGAAACTTTTTTTGGACAATAAACTGTCCAGAAAAACCTGTAGATATTTTTTTGATAATGGTAAAATTTAGCCGGCGTAATTTTAATATTTCAAAGAATTAAATAAATATTGGGCCTATATTCCCCCCACCGTTTAAAGCCTCGTCTACACATAATGTTTTGCCTGTCAGTCATACCGGTTCGGTCAAAACGTATCAAATAAAACACTAAGTGTAGTCTGAGCTTAAAATACTCTACCATTAATTTATTATAGAAACTCGTAATTATAATAAAGTTTAAAATTAAAATTATATTACCTACCTACTAATCTTAAAGAACTTCCATAAAAATATTCATTTTGTATCAAATATAAAGTCATCCGAAACAAAAAAAAAATAATAATCAAAAAATACTACATTAAAAAACTACAATTTTTGGACGATTTTGATATTTTTACACAGCTACAACGATTTATTACATCATCAAATTTCTAGATGGCGTTTGTAAAATGTATATAACGAAGAATATTTGTAAAAAAAAACAGTTAAAATCAAAATAAAATGTTCTTTTAAAGTATTTGTTTTATTTCTGATATACAGTATGTCCCCGGATTGTATAAGAGGAAAAACTTTTTTATTACTGACATTTTGAGAAAAATTATTTATAATAAATAAAAAAAATGAAGACTTTAACTCCCTGGAGCTACGAAACAAAGCAGAATTGGACCTATGTTAATATAAAATATACATTTTATTTTTACATGATGAATCTCCACACGAGAGATAGCACATATTTTTTAGAACACCCTGTATAACAGCGTTTAATACCACGACCATAAACAGACTTATTACAAACTATCAGGCATTCTCTTTATTTTATACTTTATTATTTAAACTCAGTCCATAACGAGTTCTCTCTTCAGTAGATACCACATCTCCTCTAGTCTACCAGCTTTCGAATTCTTGGTATTTAATCTTCGCTCGTGACTCTACCATCATCGAGTCCTTATATGTGACACAAATACCAAAAAACGCCCAATATTCGTTAAATTCGACGTCATTTCAATGAACATAAATTCCTTAATCAAGTTTAATATGCTTTGATTAAAGATTCACAAATAAAAACTGATAGTTGTGCTTCTGTATTCGTGTAGTGATGTAGAAACAGTTATAGTGCGCTTAAAAATTGTGATGTAATGCTGAGATAAACAGAAAATTTTAAAATCGCGTTACTTAAAAACAAAACAATATCAATTGGTATACGTCAACAATGCCAACAGTTTTTCACGCTTTTTCTAAAACATAATACAATAGCTTGTAGTTGTTATGTCGTAAGGTGCACTGTGTATTTAGTTCTGTTCTGATTCTTTAAAAATTGACAATGAGTGAGAGTGATAAAAAAAAGAAACACGACAGGCAGAAAAGGGGACTTAAAGTGTTCTTCTTTCCTCGGGCACATGGGCAGAAGCACAAGCACAAGAAGAACAAGTACTACGTCAGTCATGACGACAGATCTCGTACAGGGTGAGTATAAAAGGTTTTTTTGGTAATAATTTATACTTCAGATCAATAATACACAGGGTTGTTCACCACATACGACACGGAGTATTGTAGCTAAATGATTACATTTTTACAAATTGTAAGTTTTGGGTTCGTTGAAGGACTATTAGAGCTACTATTTAAAAATATTTTTACAAGATACAGAGTGTCTCAAATAAATAAAAAATATCAAAGTTGTATTCTTTTAAATGGAACACCCTGTATATTATTACATTTTTAGTTTCTACTATTAAAATAAAGGTAAATTTGATAAAGGTTTATTATACTTAAACCTTACCGTTTTTGAAATATGTTCAATTTTGTGAAATTGCAGTCAAAATTTTAAGGCTTCATTTCTCCAAGGGTGTTAAAGTTTTTAATACTAAATATTTACTGAAGTTTATTTATTGATCAGTGATTGTGTTGCAATAATAAAAATTATACTACCTTATACAGAGTGTCTAAAATTTTATTTTAAATAATTACTAGCTATAAACGGCAATAACTTGTTTAATTTAAATGGAACACCCTGTATATTTTATAAAAATCAGATGCACAATTTAAATGTCTATCAAATTGTATTACACCATTTTTTACCTACCTCTTCAAGTTTCCGTAGAAAATGCATTTTCTTGTAATTTAAAACTCATTTATCAATATGCCCATAGAATACTGACATTTTTGATTATTTTTAAAGATGTACCATATATTTAAAGAGTACAGATACTAATATTGTCGATATAGTTTGTTTATTTCATTAAAAAATAAAAAAACTGTTTTAATATTTGTTAAAGAGTACCAATTAATATGATTCCAGTATTCAAACTACATTAATTGACTGTTTGCGTTGGTTAATAATAATTGCTCCAAATACTAAAAAACTGAATTTTGTATGTGTATTTCATTTCATGATATTTCATTTTTTGACAAATGCTTATTTATAACAATAGAATTCATTTTCATAACATATTATTATAATGATTTCTGATCCAAATCCACATTTACTTAGAATAATTTATTAACGAACATAATTAAGTATGTAATTAATTAGTATTTGGGCGGAAATAATGGTGGTATATTTAATTAATGGTATACTCTTTTATAAAGATTTAAATAGTTTTCTTTTTGTATACAAATGGGCTAGTAATATTATCATTTTGCTAAAGACGATAATATTACTAGTCTGTACATTTTTTAAATTTGTTGCTTTAAAAACAATCTAAAATGTCAATATTCCATGGGTATATATTAGAGAACAACGGCATACGGTCGAGTCGGCCTACAAACACGTAAACGTTTACGTACGCATGCGCATTTCTTATATTTTTATTTTTTATACACGTAAAAGATTCTTTACGTCTACGTCTACGTACCAGCAGCGGCCGACTCGACCGTATGCCGTTGTTCTCTATTGATAAATGAGGTCTAAATTATAAGAAAATGCATTTTCTACGAAAACTTGAAGGGATAGGTAAAAAGTGGTATAATACAATTTGATAGACAATTAAATTTTGCATCTGATTCTCCTAAAATATACAGGGCGTTCCATTTAAATTAAACAAGTTATTGCCGTTTAAAGCTAAAAATAATTTAAAATAAATTTTTAGACACTCTGTATGAGGTAGTATTATTTTGTTATTGCAACACAATAACAGATAATAAATAGACTTCAGTAAATATTTAGTATTAAACACTTTGATATCCTCGGAGAAATAAAGCCTTAAAATTTTTACTGCAATTTCACAAAATTGAAAATATTTCAAAAACGGTAATGTTTAAGTGTAATAAACCTTAATCAAATTAACCTTTATTTTAATCGTAGAAACTAAAAATGTAATAATATACAGGGTGTTCGATTTAAAAAAATACAACTTTGATATTCTTTATTTATTTGGGACACTCTGTATCTTGTAAAAATATTTTTAAATTGTAGCTCTAATAGTACTTCAACGAACCCAAAACTTACAATTCGTAAAAATCTAATCATTTAGCTACAATACTTCGTGTCGTCTGTGGTGAACAACCCTGTATATTAACATTAAAGGAACAACTTATATAGGACGTTCCAATATTACGTGGTGGACATAAAACTGCTACGTATTTTTGATATCAAAATAAGTTTATTAGACACATTTTATATACCTCTATACAAAAGTGCTTCGTTTGTCCGCCAGAGGGCATCAAACTTTAATAAAATAAACATATTTTTTCAAATATTTTAAGAACTGTTATGGTGGGTTCATACAGCCAAATAAAATAAAATAAGAATAAAATAAAATAAAATAAGAAAGTTGGTTATATGGGATACCGTACATGCGTTCATACAGCCAAATAAAATAACAAATAAAATAAGAAGTCTTTATCTTTTAACTTCTTGTTTTATTTTATGTGTTATTTTATTTTAAACGGCTTTGCGGACGCTTAATTCTAACCTACAAATATTTTCAGTTTGGATTTAATTTATTTTATAATTTCACATAAGTAAAATATATAATATAGTAGGCAACGAACAAATAAATATACTATAAATGGTAAAATTACTATAAACAATCGTAAAAGTTAACTTTTATCCAGCCTCATCGTACTGCGCATGAGCAAATATATATTTCTTATTTTATTTTATTTGACTGTATGAACGCACACAAATAAGAATTCCTTATTTCTTATTTTATTTTATTCTTATTTTATTTTATTTGGCTGTATGAACCCACCATTATTCCGATTTGAATGAGATTTTGCTAAGTGCTTTTACATTTGGTTTTTACAAAAATCAGGAAAAAGTACGGGAAGGGTAAAAACTACCCCCACCCTTACATAAATTTTAATATAAATATTTCCCAACTCAACCGACAAACCATTTTTTTTTGTAAAATGGTCTTTATAGTATCACAGATTAGGTATCCTACAGATAAAAATCTTATCCCTAATTCGTGGTACAAAAATTGTTTTTTATGACGATGTGCAAACGAGTAAAATTTCCTGTGCGCAAAAATAAACTCGCGTAAAATAACAATAAACAGCGTAATAGAGAGATATCGCTAAACCGAATAGCGTGCATGGACGTTAATAAGGCCAGGTGTTATTTCCTTTACGTGAGGTGGTATTAACTCTCTTCATTTATAGTTATCGGATCGGAAAGGATTCTGTTCGCGTCGCGTCCGCGATTTAAACTTAACCTTTAAAACTAAAGGGCTAAAGTGCTTATTTCCAGTGCTTTATTGTTCAACGTCTGCCAGTGGGTTTAGGGCAACAAGCAACAAATTCTCTTAGAAGCGCTAAGTCGTCATGTGCTGTAAACCTAAGCCTCTTTACAGGTTCTTTAATATTGGAAGAGATGGAATCCATATTTTGGGCCGTATTTATTTAATTAAAACTAATCCCAGCTACTTTAATATCCAATTACCTAATAAAACTAAAGTAATAATTCAAAACAATTCAAACATAACCTAAAATAAAAGATCTCGCCGGCCGGTAGAGATGGGCAAAAGTAACCGGTTTTTTGAATAACCGGTATTTTCCTCTAAAATAACCGGTTATTTAAAGGTAGTTTTTTTTCACCAGTTAACCTAATAACCTTGCATTACGTTCAATAACCTATAGCCGGTTATTCGAAGAAGCGAACGGCACGGATCTTCCAGATATTACGACGATAACGGGAGATCCCGCTCCCGCTCCCAAAACGAAAATATATGACATCAAACATCAAATGTCAAAATTAAATCAGGCATCAGGCGAACCCTGATGATAATAATCAAAACAACGGCCGAATGGCCCTGACAGGTCAGGCCGTAAAACAAAGTACTAATGGCATAGACTACTACTAGCCACCAGCTAGCCAAGTGATACGAACCTAACTTCAAATAGATTCTCTAAATTCTATATTTAAATTTTAACCGACTTTAACGGATTTTCAACGGTTCTTCAAAAGTTTTCCATGGTTTCGCCCAGTTTCACCCACGTTTCACCGTAAATATATTTTATTTGTAGTTTGAAGTCTCTCTTGAAGCTTAGACTAAAGAATACAAAATTGAAGTTCAAGTAATGAATGAAGATAATCTTTCATTATCTATTCATTCAGTCGCCTTATTTTTCTTTGGTATTTGATTAAAATAACTTGGTTGTAGATTGTAGAACTTGTGAGTTGTGTGGTTTATTTGAACGTTAAGTAATTACTAATATTTTATATCATATCCATGTCTACTCAAAAAAGTGAGGTTAGCATTTTTATTTAAATTCATTTTGTACATATACATACTTACATTGCTACAATCTCTATTTATTCATGCGATTTAACTAAGTTTATTATCTAAATTTGAAGTAGACCTATGGAGTGTAGAGGTAAGTAAACCTATAGGAAAACTAAATATTTAGTTTTGCTAGGTTAGGTTATTTGAATAACCGGTTAATTTGTGTCGGTTAATTTTGTCAAGTTATTATTTTTTAAAGATAATTCCGGTTAACCTATAACCGGTTTTTTACCAATAACCGCCCATCTCTACCGGCCGGCCCCGGTTGTCAAATACCCGCACATGCCCATTTAAGCAATTTTTAAACGTTATTTAGAAATAGCGCTTGGTATAATTAAAGGTGTAATTGATCCGCAAATTACGTCAGGCGGTAACGTTGTTAGCGGGTGTTGCGTTAAAAATTGACTCGCGCATATCGTAAATCGTAACAAGATCATAACCATGATAAGGTACGCATAAATACTACATGACGCTATTCGGTTTTCCGATATCTCTCTAATAACTGTGTCGGTCAGGCGCTGTGCACAATTTTAGAGGCTATAAGTGGGCGTGCTATGTGCGCAAACTAGTATTCTAACTAGTGCCCGATTCCGAAAATTGGAACCACGAAAAACAATAAAGAAAAAACAAAGTTTATAATCTGTATAATCTGTGATAGTATTTACTACATTTTTGTCTCTTGTTAAACAGTTTTTGGGAAAACATTTTTGGAGAATTTATTTTTCCAAAGCCGACTTA